AGAAGATTATGATGATAATAAAATAAAAATAAATAAATAAAAATAAAAAAACAAAAACAAAAACAAAAACAAACAAAAAAAACACTCCTGTTATTTAGATTATTATTCCTAATACAAAGACAAGAAAGTGCGCTTTAGCAAATTAAAGACCTTGCTCAAAATACACATAAGAAATAGAACTAGGCTGTTGCTTTTGCAGTGTCCTGATGCACCAGATATTACATTTTATTTGATGTATAACGGGATCCTTCGAAGGGTTTTAAGCAGCGATATGGTATAATTAATGAAGCTAACATTTTCAAAACCTTAACTCTGTATGAAGACTGGATCTGGAGGGGTGGAGTGGAAGAAGGGTAGTCCATGGCAAAGACTGTGGTGGCCTGGACAGGCTAGTGCCCTGAAGACACATTCGCAATATATTTTGGTGGCAGCAATGACAAGACTTGGTGAGAGAACGGCTCCCCCGCGTCCTCAGTGGTAGTGTGTCCCACCACCCCTTTGTTCGCATGCTGATCTTTTGGTTCCTGAAAGGTGCTAGGTCTTTTCTGATCTCTAAGATGTTGCTCAGTTCAGTCTTTGTCTGGAATGCTGTTTGCTCTATTCTTTCACTGTCTGTTTCTCTTTCATTCTACAGGACTCAGCTCAAATCTTATTCTTGAGAATCTTTCTTTGATGCCATAATCTAAGTTTGGTTTTATCTTTTTTAAAAATTGCCAGAGTTCATGCACTCAGCAGGGAGAGAAAGAAGAGGGAGAAAGAACCTTCCAGTGAGCATGCCTGCACCACAATCCCTTCTCCTCCATTTGTCCATCCACTGGGGTTGGGACCCTCACGCACCCATGACCAGCATTTCTGAAGTGGTGAGGGCCGAGATTTAAACTGCAACTAGCCAGTTCCCCTAACCACTGTGCTGCAGGGCGGGCTCACCATCGTCCCGTCTTTGATTTGCTAATACAGTCCGGTTACGTTCTGTCCTGTCCTTGTCTATTCCATAGTTATTTGCATACTTTTACCACATGTGTTACAATTCTCGAAGCCAGGAACTAAGTTTATTTTGTGCATCACTGTTACCATGGTGCCTAGCATGCATGGCCCCTGGAGCCGCAGGCACTCGGTGAGTATTTATTGAGGAAGGTCGGGAAATGTCTGACTTCCAAACCCTCATATGTAATGCTGTGCTGATTTTCACGTGTTGACTTTTGAAGAGATTTCCTTTTCTATCCTTCTGGAGTTATCAACATCCCAACAACATCTAACTGATAAGTCATGTTTCCATCTCCGACCTCTCTTCAGCCACTCATCACACCTTGAACCTGGGTTAAAAGAACACTCAGGGTGACACGTGCAGGAAAGGGCCGGTGAAGGTAGTGTGAGAGGGGAATTCTCATTCCCTGTTGGTGGGAGCACACATTAATATGACTCTTTTGGGTAAATGAGTAAGCGCTCCTCATCAAAGGTCTTAAAATAAATGTAAATAAAACTTTAAAATATAGAAGACACAGAAAGGTGTGTGCATTTGGATTATATAAGCTGTCTGAAAAGATAGAAACCAAAATGTTCATGGTAAGTCGGTACTTCCAGGGAGAGATGCCAAAACAGAGCAACTTTCTGCCTTTATATTTTTGCAATGTGCAGCTCTCATTTTTATACTAAAGGTCCCATGGAAGGAGAACCATAGATCTTTCTACTTTTGACCATACTAATCCCACTTACGCTTTACTAATAGATGACGTGAGTTGTGGTCTAGGGTTTATATGTAATGATGTTTATCAGTGAATTCTTAATATTCAAAATTTAGAAATAATCTAAATATCCAACAATAGAGGAACAACTAAAAAGATATCGCTATTCAAATGATGAAGTATTTAATATACATTACAATTATGTTTTGGACAATAATTAAGGATGTGAAAAATATATATAGAATAAAACAAAGCATGGGCCAGCAGGTGGCGTAGAGGTCGAGGCACTGGACCCCAGGTGGCTGACTCCGTGGTTCCAGCCTCAGAACTGTAGCCTGGAAAACACACCAGGCGCATGTGTGGGCAGGTCTAAAATCTCAACAGCAGAATGGAGGAGAAGGGACGGTGGCACGGCAGTCCCCACTGGGGGACAGTTTCTCGCTTTCCCTTCCCTGTCTCTCTCCTGCGAGCACACGCCCTATGGCAAAAATCTAAAGAATAAAACAACACAATAACAATAAAACAACAGCACAAAACTAATTGGATCATCTCAATTTGTTAGGAAAAGATGAGAAACAGAAATACATAGGTAAGGAAAAAAGCCAACTGCACGGTTCAAATGCTGGACCTGACAGCTTGGGAAAACAAAACAAAACAAAACAGATGCCAGGTACGCATGCCCAAATCCCAAGAGGAGCATGGAGGAGAAGGGACTGCCGCATGGTCACCCCACTGGGGGCTGCTTTCTCCCTCCCCAGCAAATGCACGTGTCCTGTAGCAAATGAGAGACAGAAAGAAAGAGAAAGAAAAGAAGAACAAAAAAGTTGAGACCAGCTCCCTAGCATAGTGGTTAAGTTCTCTGCAGAGAGAGCAGGTCCCCCTGGCCACCCACAGTTTATATCCCAGCCCTGGTGGCTTGAAAAACTCACTGGGGGATCGGCAGATGGCATAATGGCTACGTCACTGGACTCCCACGTTGCTGACCATGGTCAAGTCCGTAGTCAGCGGCTTAAACCATACACTCTGGGCGCATGTGTATGCGTGCCCAAAATCCTGAGAGGAGAACGGATCACCACCCCCCCCCGGGGGGGTGACTTCTCGCTTTCTGCCTCTCTGTCTCTCCTGGGAGCTCACGTGCCCTACAGCAAAAACCTCTCTACAAAACAAACAAAAAGCAACTCACTGGGCACATGCACGCATGCCTAGGATCCTAACAGGAAAAAGTGGAGGAAAAGAGAGACTGTGGAGCGACCAGACCCCGCTGATGAGCACTCTCTGTCTTTCTCTCTGGTACACGTGCCCTCAGGCAGGAAGAGAAGGGAGAGTAAGGAAGGGGAGATCTGTCATAAAATCTACCAAAACGTCAGTAATGACCATTTATGAATAATGGAGCTGTTCAGATCAGTTCTTTATGATATTCTGGTATTTCCTAATGTAAAAATCGTATATCATTTTATTGTCAAAGAAGAATTGCAAATGTTATTATTATTTTTTTTTTGGAGAGGTTTTTGCTATAGGGCCCGTGCGCTTGCCAGAAAGACAGAGAGAGACAGAGAGATAGAAAGCGAGAAATCACCCCCCCCCCCCGGGGGGATGGCCATGCTGCAACCCCTTCTCCTCTTGGGATCTTGGGCATGCGCCACACACATGCGCCTGGCGTGAGTTTAAGCCACCGGATCCAGGACTCGAACCACAGTCGATTTCATGGGAGTTCAGCGACACGGCCATTACGCCAACTGCTGGTCCCTGCAAATGTTATTTGTAGTAGGCATAAAGATTTTAACAAGTAATTCTACTTCTATTCAATCTTTATGTAAAGCACTCATAGAAGACATATTTACTGACTAAGATACTAGGTTCTAGTCCCCACAAATTCCCCTACTAATCTTATTTTTATGAAAAAGTACCATGCATTTAATACTCTTTGGAAACCTCATTTTCTTTGACTTGTGTATTATAATAATAGCAATGACTTACAGAATAAAATTACCTTTAATTAAACGTATTTAAGGCAAATGTAAATTCCTAGTTGGAGTCAGACCTTTTATTATACTTGCCCTTTCTTTAGTTCTTTGAGTCAGCCTTGCTGAAGTAGACTAATGGAGGGGGTACTATTTACTGTGTTTTTGTACAGTTTCAAATACTCTGTATAAAACCAGCTCTTTCAAGGAGCATAAAGATTCTTTTAGAAAATTTAATTTCTAACCATCAATTTTAATTTAGACACCTACACTGAGAATTCAGTTTGGCCATTAAACCAATGAAAATTCTGCATCTATATGGTCACTGTCAGAAAGGCCTAACTAACTCAACTCGGGAGGATGTATATTGGTGTACGTGGGAGGTCTGAAGGAATGTTTACCACAATGTTTATAGTACCCCTGGGACTAAAGCTGGTGGCTACCCCTGGGAATTGGCAAAACAGACATAAAAATGTAAGGGAGACCCCATAAACCACACGTGGGCAAGTCCCATTATATTATAGACATGCTTTATAGATATTCTATCAATGGAACTTTGAGTCTAGAACTTTTAAAATCAATCAGCTATCAATGATAATAATATACACTTTCTGGAATAATCCAAACTCTTAATTCTCCCAAGTAACACACAAATAAATGTATAAACAAGTGTGGACAGAAATTCTACATACTGAACATTTACTTGAGAGACACTTCACACTGTGCTACTCCAATACCTCATATGATAAATGTGCTTCAGAGTCAATGGCTTCGTTTAATTTGTTTCTGAAATCAAATTCCTTCATGTGAAAGACGTCATGTTTTAATGACATGTGTGTGAGTGCCCAAGATTCAGAGAGGAGAATGGAGGAGAAGGGGTTGTGGCGTGGCCATCCCCCCAGGGGGGTGATTTCTTGCTTTCTGTCTCTCTGTCTCTTCAGTGAGCACACATGCCCTATGGCAAAAATCTCTTTCTAAAATATATGTGTGTGTGTGTATATATATATTTATATTTATATTTATATTTGCTATAGGGTATGTATGCTCACCAGAGAGAGAGGCAGAGAGAACTAAGAAATCACTCCCCAGGGGAGATGGCCATGCCATAATCCCTTCTCCTCCATTCTCCTCTTGGGATCTTGGGCACGTATCCACACGTGCCTGGTGCGTTTCTCCAGCCATCAGGTTCGGGACTTGAACAGCTCAGTAGGTCATGTATAGTCTAGCCTCCCTGACCACCATGCCACTGAATGGCCCTCAATTGACATTTTATAGGTAATCATACTCACATTTACATACACTTATAGCATAAAATATACTATAAAATACATATAATAAAAATGTTGTACACTTCAAATAATTCTAAGACAAATTTTTATTGGTGGAAAAGAATGAATACATTTACAGAAAGAGAAAGTAAAAGGTAACAAATTGGAAATTTCAAGGATGCCCATTTAGCACTCGTTGCAGCGATTTTACTCATTATCTGAATCTGTCCCCCACACTACGAAGTGTGTAATTACTAATCTGCAGTAAAGAAAAACACATAAAAACCTAGAGTAATATTAAATCATTAAGCTCAGAGAAAAAATGTAAGTGGACTTCTCTGTCAGACCGCAATGAACTGCTAAAGTACTACCAGCTCTATTTCAAATTGCCTTCCCATTATTTCCACAGCAAAACATGCTCATCATAGTCAAGGAAAATATCACAATATATCTGACTGTATGTGGCTTATTTTCTTAATTTTTTCAATATACCTACCGAAGCGCTGTATTCTGCTAGGGGACACATTCCTGTACTCTCCTTGATACACAAAGTTGTCAGCAAGCATTAAACAATGAACAGGTCAAACGAGAAAGCAGTATGGCGCTACAGACATGGTAATCACTGTTGCTTCCTTTCAAACAGAAGGAACTGCTGAGAGCGTATTAGAATCTCAGTACTCTTACGAGGATCTCCCTTGGCTGTTACTTGTCTAAGAAGTGATAACCATATAATTTACAGAAAGCAAGCCACTGAAATCTTCGGAAACATAACCTGGCAATCTATCTTCAATGCGGAATGATGAGGTGGCAGGGGTGAGATGGAAAACCAGTCTTCGGCGACATCATGTAAGGGAATCCAGCTGTGCTTGTATGGTCTCTAGCTGTAGGGAGACGGAAAAAAGACAGTTGGTGAAAGAAAAGAAATTCATAGCAAGTGTTTAGAAATGTGAAAGCATAAGAGGGAAGCATGGCATTGGTAACTAGGCATATTAAATCCACAGAGATAAAAATACCAGTGAGAATATTTTTCTTTTCATGTGAAGATAAGAGAATTCATACTTGCAATCTAAGTTTTCAAATTTGTAAAAAAGGAAGATTTCTAAATACTATAGTTTTAAATATACCCACCCAGTTGTTTCACTTTAAATTACCATTTGGTAAGACTTTAAAGATAGGGGCGTGGGGCGCAGGGGGAGTGTTTTTTTCTGAATTGTAAAATCAGAATTTGGAAGAAAACAATATATATCCCAAAATCTCTAAAAGCTTCACACTTTCCTTTCCATGTTCCTCCTGACTCTTGGCCCAGTGGTTAAACTCTAACATCTACATTAAAAGTGACAGTGTGGCAATGATCACAGACTTCATTACTTAATGTTTTACGTTAAAGCAATAATTCTGTGCTTATTTGAAACCATTTCCATTTCTTCCTGATTTAGTGTCTCAGATTATCTTAATTTCAGGTAAGCATCCTACTGTGAAAAGTAAGGTGTTCAAAGCGGAAATTTAAAAAATTTAGCTCTATAATAGTGCATTTAAAAATAGGAATTCATAAAATGAAGAAAACATTATGAGAAAACCTACAAGTCAGAAAATTATTTTAAAAATACAGACCTTGTTATAGAAATCAAACAACTCCTTGTGACTAAATTCCACAAGAACCTTCTCCAGGCTCTGTAAAGAAGAAAAACAAAGAAAAAGGAATTTAGCTGCATACAATTAACATTGCATTTTTCTCTCCACCTAGCTTCAGAATTTGCCATAATATTATTCTCTGAGTGATTTTAAAAAGTACCTGATCTGCGTGAACCCGTGATTCCCAGAACTCACGAATGCACTTAATAACGCTCCACTTTACCAAAAGGTTTCAACTCTACAGGGACATCTGTTCTTTAAGTTGACTCCATTGAGGTTAATAAAATATATGCCAGCCAGAGAACAATTTCATTACCCATCTTTTTCAAGACAGAGATAATACATGAGATTATATTTCATCTTTCTCAGCAGTCCATTTAAACTCCAGCAAATACCATTACACAAAGACATCGGAGGCAGCATATCTGAGTGAACTCACCCAGCCGCTAATGCTTCACATCAGCACAGCCACTGCCTCCAAGCACTCATCTCACAGTGATGATCTTAGCATGCTGAGACTGTTACCTTCAACGGACTCAGCAAAAGCTCACAATTACCACCGCAGTTCAAAGCCAGGCCTTAAATGCGCCTTCCTTTCACCTCACACACCTTAGGAAAACCTTTGTTGTGGCTGCAGATACTATATGTACCATGCATGCACGTATGATGGTACAGTAAGCTCAACCCAACCCAACTCCGTCCAACCTGCTTTGGCTGATGCTGTAAACTGAGGAAACAATCCCCGGTAGTTGCTAAAGATTGCTCACACAGCTTGTTTTATTCAAGATCCCTTTGGGGAAGTAAAAGTTAATGAGGAGAAAATGACCAGAAGGGGTGATCTGTTCTCAGGAAACTTCCTGCTATGCATCCATGACTTAAAACAAGTACCATAAACTACAGAACTGGAAAATTGCCGCAAACCGGCACTGATTTATGCACTGTCTGTGCTCGTTTTCTGTGTCCCCACTTTCTACGTTCATTTTTTGTCTGTAGTTTTATTGATTTCCATTTCTATTTACAAAGCCAACATGTTCAAGTCAAGTTATCTCCAGTCAACTCCAGAAGAGTCAATGGAGCCATCTTCATAAATGGCGTCTCTTTCCTCATGATGCCTAAGCACAAAGAATCAATTTTCACATGTCTTCATTTTCTTTTATATGCCCATCTAAGTTCTTAAGTCTAAAAATGAATGAAGAAGCATACTTGCATTAAGTATCATCCTTTAAAAATTAAATAAAATTATGAAGTTTTAAAATTACATTAGAAAAATTAATTGGTTAACTGGCATAAATAGCCTAACTACTAAAAGTTTAATCAGCATCATTTAACAGTTATGTTCGCCCAGCAGTTAAAGGGGATGATAGGCCCATGTTTACTCCTCAAGTTTTGGAAGAAGCAGGGAAAACTCATTATTCTCACCACTGTGCCAAAAGTTAGGAGGGAATGAAAGGTTATTCAGTATGTGAACGACTGATGTACCCCCAGTAGTATAGTGAAACCAGGTTCTTATTTCTTACATTATTGTTTTGCTTGGTTTCAAGGTGATGTTTCCTAAAATGTTAACTGAGGAAAGGGAAGGAAGTTCTTAAAATAACAGTACGTATGGTGACATCAGCAAGATGACAGCCTAGGAAGCTACAGGTCCTCCTTTTCCTACAAAGATGCTAACTCAACAATATATGAACCGTAATACTTCTGTGAGAACTTTAGAGACAGGTGACCAGGTATAGCGCACAAGTCATTAAAACAAAAAAGAAATTCCAGCAGAAAGGCAGGAAAATTTGTACACATGATTGATCCTATAATTACGTAGCATAAAGGAACAACCAGGAAGAAATGTCCATCGCCCTACCCCATACCAGGGAATCCTCCCTCATAAGAGAAACGAAAGAATGGGCCACGCACCCCGTGGTCTAGCTTGTCTGGGGCTGCCTAAGTAAGTGGTTTCTGTCTTCCTGATCAGCAACAGTGTTTTGAAGGCACTGACAACGTTAAGTAAGCAGCAGAGTAGAGCTGCAGTTCTGTAGACAGATGCCATGGGAAACAGCATATTTGGAAGGGTTTGAGAGGTCCTGGAATCCATAGCTGGGCAAATTGGGGAAAGTCTTCCCCTGTACAAAGCCAATATGCAAAGCCCGAGACAGGTGATCGTTTATTAAAATCCCAAATCTTAGCAATAACACAACACAAAATTATAAGACATACAAAGAAACAGAAAAACATGGCTTAATCAAAGAAAAAAAATGGTAACACTCAGAAATGAAGATCCGTGAGCTACAAAGAATTTAAACTGTCAAAAAGATGCTTGGTGAGTTAAAAGAGAACACAAGTAGACAATTACATGAAATCAGTTAAATGATACATAAATAAAACGAGGCTATTAACAGAGAGACAGAGAAATGATAAAGAAGAACCAAACAAAAATTCTAGAGCTGAAAAATACAATAAGTGAACTGAAAAATTTATTAGAGGGGCCCAACAACAGTCTTAGGCAGAATGAAGTCTTATGTGAACTTGAAGAAAAGTACTTTGAATCACTGAATCAGAGGAAAAAAAGAAAAACAAACAAAGAGAGACTAAGGGGCTTATGAAACATTAATAAGCAAGAAGAGAGAGAAAAAGGTAGAGAGCGTATCTGCAGAGATAATGACTTAAAACTTCTCTAACATGTGAAATAAAATGGACATACAGATTCAAGGAACTTCAAGAACGTCAACTAGAACAAGTCCAAGACAATCACAGCGGGACACATTATAATCCAACTGTCTAAAGTCAAAGATTCTTAAAGGGAGCAGAAAAAGGGATTCATCACAGATGATGAAGCTTCCTTTAACGAGCTTCTCAGAAGAAACTGAAGGCCAGAAGTGAGTGGGATGTCACATTCAAAGTGCTTAAACAAAAACAAAGATAAAAAACGTGGAAAACAAAAAAATGAGTAAGGAAACAAAATGATCAATCAAGAAAAATACATCTGGCAAAACTGTCCTGCAATAATGACAGAGAAATTAAGACTTTCTCAGAAAAACGAAAGCTATTGGGGCTCAATACTACTAGATATGCTATATAAAAAAATGCCAAACAGGAGTTCTTTAAGTTGAAAAGAGACAGTAGGCAGCAATAAAAAACTGTGAAAAAAAGTGTTCTCTGGTTAAGGTAAACACATGGACAACTATTGTAATTAATATGTACAACTGCCAATTTAGAATATGGAATTTAAATGAGAAAAACAAAACCCCCAAAAATCTATGTTAGCTAGCATATAATATATAAAAAATACAATCTATAATAGCAATAACAAAGTGAGTTAAGTTGTAAGGATGAATTTTTGTTTGTGACTTAAGTTAACACTTTAAAATAAAGTGCTGGGAACCAGCAGTTAGCGTAATGGCTATGTCGCTGGACTCCCACGTAGTCGACCGCGGTTCGAGTCCCAGACCCGGTGGCTTAAAACTCATGCCGGGCGCGTGTGCATGCGTGCCCAAGATCCCGAGAGGAGAATGGAGGAGAAGGGTGTGACCATCCCCCCTGGGGGGTGATTTCTCGCTTTCTGTCTCTATGTCTCTCTCTGTCTGTCTGGCGAGTGCACGCGCCCTACAGTGAAAATCTCTCCAAAAATAAAAACATAAAGTGCTATAACTGAGATAACTTATATAATAGCAATTGTAACCACAAAGAAAAATCTATAGAATATACAAAAAGGATATAAAAAGACAATCACTAAAAATAATTGAAACACAAAGGAAGGCAGAGAAAGAAAGAAAAAAAGGACAAAAAAAGCTATAAGATATAGAAAAAGCAATTAACAAAAATGTAAATAGATTAAACTTTACAATCTAAAGGCACAAACTGATTGGTTTAATGGCTAAAAAACCAGGATCCAAATATATACTGTCTACAACAGACTCATTTTAGATCTAAGGACACATTTAGGTGAATAATTAAAGGACAGAAAAGGTATTCCATGTAAATGCAAATCAAGAGAGCAGGAATTGCTACATCAAAATCAGAGAAAAGAGACTTTAAACCAGAGACTTACTAGAGTCAAAGAAGAATATTATATAATGATAAAACAGGTCAATTCACCAAGAAAATATAATAATTACAAGTATATATGCACCAAACCTCAGAGTTTATATGCACCAAAATATGTAGCAAACTTTGCCAGGATTGAAGGGAGAAAGAGACAATTATAGTAGGCGACTGAACTCCACTTTCAGTAACCGACAATCATACAGAAAATCAACAATATATTGTGTTGTCAGAAAAGTCATAGAAAAATACATCATGACTTTTCCAGTAGCCCAACAGATGAGTTGAACAACACAATAAGCCAACTATTAATAACTTGACAGACATATAAAGAACACTCCACCTAACAACAGAATATATAGTCTTCTCATGCTCACAAAGAACATCCTCCAGAATTTTAGGCAGTGAAACAAATCTTAAATTCAAGAAGACAGAAGTTATACCAAATACCTTTTCTGATCACAGTGGAATAAAACTAGAAATTAATAGTACAAGGAAAATTCTAAAATCTGCAAGTATGTGGAAATCAAATATATTCTTAAACAATCAACGGGTCAAGGAAATCACTCTAAAAAAAATTAGAAAATACCTTGAGGCTGAAAATGTAAACACAGAATACCAAATATTTTGGGACTTAGCAAAATTAGGGCTAAGAGGTAAATTTATAACTACAAATGCGTACATTAAAAAAGAAGGATCTTCTTTAACAGCTAAACTTTACACCTCAAGAAACCAGAAGAACAAGCCAAGTCTAAAGTTAGCAGAAGGAAGGAAATAATAAAGATTAGAGAAAAATTAATGAAATAGAGACAGAAAAACAATAAAAAAATCAAAGAAATTAATCTCTTAAGTGCTGGGTTTTTGAAAAGATCAGCAAAATTGACACTTAACTAGATTAACTAAGGAAAAGGGAAAAAAAAGAAAAGAGGACTCAAATAATTAACACCAGAAATGAAATGGCATTGTAACTGATGTTATAGAAACATTGTAAGAGAATATTAAGACCAACA